TGTGATTTCTGCACATTGATTTTGTATCCTGAGACTTTGCTGAAGTTGCTTATCAGTTTGAGGAGATTTGGGGCTGAGATGAACGGGTCTTCTAGATATACAATCATGTCATCTGCAAATAGAGACAGTTTGACTTCCTCCTTTCCTAATTGAATACCCATTATTTCTTTTTCTTGCCTGATTGCTCTGGCTAGAACTTCTAATACTATGTTGAATAGGAGTGATGAGAGAGGGCATCCTTGTCTAGTGCCTGATTTCAAAGGGAATTCTTCCAGCTTTTGCCTGTTCAGTATGATATTGGCTGTAGGTTTGTCATATATAGCTTTTATCCTTTTATGATACGTTCCGTCAATACCTAGTTTATTGAGAGTTTTTAGCATGAAGGACTGTTGAATTTTATCGAAGGCCTTCTCTGCATCTATTGAGATAATCATGTGGTTTTTATCTTTGGTTCCGTTTATGTGATGGATTACATTTATGGATTTGCATATGTTGAACCAGCCTTGCTTCCCTGGGATGAAGCCTACTTGGTCTTGATGGATAAGCTTCTTGATGTGCTGTTGCAATCTGTTTGCCAGTATTTTATTGAAGATTTTTGTGTCAATGTTCATCATGGATTTTTTTTTTTTTTTTTTTTTTTGACATGGAGTTTCACTCTTGTTACCCAGGCTGGAGTGCAATGGCGTGATCTCAGCTCACCACAACCTCCGCCTCCTGGGTTCAAGCAATTCTCCTGCTTCAGCCTCCCGAGTAGCTGGGACTACAGGCGTGTGCCACCATGCCCAGCTAATTTTTTGTATTTTTAGTAGAGACGGGCTTTCACCTTGTTGACCAGGATGGTCTCGATCTCTTGACCTCGTGATCCACCCGCCTCGGCCTCCCAAAGTGCTGGGATTATAGGTGTGAGCCACTGCGCCCGGCCCATCATGGATATTGGCCTGAAGTTTTCTTTTTTAATTGAGTCTCTGCCTGGTTTTGGTGTCAGGACGAGATATTGGTCTCATAAAATGAGTTAGGGAGGATTCCTTCCTTTTGTATTGTTTGATACAGTTTCAGAAGGAATGTAACCATCTCCTCTCTGTACATCTGGTAGAATTCGGCTGTGAACCCACCTGGACCTGAACTGTTTTTGGTTTGTAAGCTATTGATTGCTGCCTCTACTTCAGCCCTTATTATCAGTCTATTCAGGGTTTCAACTTCCTCCTTGTTTAGTCTTGGTAGAGTACATGTGTCTAGGAATTTACCCATTTCTTCCTGGTTTACTGGTTTATGTGAATAGAACTATTTGTAGTAATCTCTGATGGTAGTTCTTGTTTCTGTGGGATCAGTGGTGATATCCCCTTTATCATTTTTTATTGCATCTATTTGATTCTTTTCCCTTTCCTTTTTTATTACTGGCTAATGGTCTATTTTGTTGATCTTTTCCAAAAACCAGCTCCTGGATTTATTGATTTTTTTTGAAGGGTTTTTTTGTGTGTGTCTATCTCCTTCAGTTCTGCTCTGATCTTAGTTATTTCTTGTCTTCTGCTAGCTTTTGAGTTTGTTTTTTTTTTTTTTTTTAATCTTGCTCGTCTAGCTCTTTCAATTTTGACAATAGTGTGTCAATTTTAGATCTTTCCTCTCTTCTTTGGTGGGCATTTATTGCTATAAATTTCCACCTTGACACTGCTTTGAAGGTGTCCCAGAGATTCTGGTAAGTTGTGTCTTCATTCTATTGGTTTTGAAGAACATCTTTATTTCTGCCTTCATTTCATTGTTTATCCAGTTGACACTCAGAAGCAAATTGTTCAGTTTCCAAGTGGTTGTGCAGGTTTGAGTGTGTTTCCTGATCCTGAGTTCTAGTCTGATTGCGCTGGGGTCTGATACACTGTTTGTTATGATTTCTGTTCTTTTGCATTTGCTGAGGGGTGATTTGTTTCCAATAATGTGGTCAGTTTTAGAGTAAGTACAGTGTGGTACTGAGAAAAATGTATATTCTGTGGATTTGGGGTGGAGCGTTCTTATATATGTCTATTAGGTCTGCTTGGTCCAGCTCTGCATTGAAGTTCTGGATACCCTTGTTAATTTTCTGTCTTGTTGATCTGTCTAATATTGACATTGGAGTGTTGAAGTCTCCTACTATTATTGGATGGGAGTCCAAATCTCGTTTTAGGTCATTAAGAACTTGATTTATGTATCTGGGTGCTCCTGTGTTGGGGGCATATATATTTAGGATAGTTAGCTCTTCCTGTTGGATTGATCCTTTTACCATTATGTAGTGTCCTCCTTTGTCTGTTTTGATCTTTGATGGTTTGAAGTCCATTTTATCAGACTAAGGAATGCAACCCCTGCTTTTTTTTTGTTCTCCATTTGCTAGGTAAATCTTCTTCCATCCCTTTATTCTATGTGTGTCTTTGTATGTGAGATGGATTTCCATCTCCGATGGGTTCTGACTTTTTATCCAGTTTGCCAGTCTGTGTCTTTTGATTGGGGTGTTTAGGCCATTTACATTCAATGTTAATATTGTTATGTGTGAATTTGATCCTACCATTTTGTTACTGGCTGGTTTTCTTTCCCATTAGTTGACTCATTTTCTTCATTGCATTTTTGGTCTTTGCCAGTTGGTTTGCTTTTGCAGTGACTGGTACTTGTTCCTTTCCATGCTTAGTGTTTCAAGAGCCCTTGTAGGGCAGGTCTGATGGTGAGAAAATCTCTCAATAATTGCTTGCTAGTAAAGGATTTTATTTCTCCTTCACTTAACGAAGCTTAGTTTGGCTGGATATGAGATTCTGGGTCGAAAGTTCTTTTCTTAAAGGTTGTTGAATATGGGCCCCCACTCTCTTCTGGCTTGTAGGGTTTCTGCTGAGAGATCTGCTGTGAGTCTGATTGGCTTCCCTCTGTGGGTGACCTGACCTTTCTCTCTGGCTGCCTTTAGCGTTTTTCCTTCATTTCAACCCTGGTGTATCTGACGATTATGTGCCTGGGGGTTGCTCTTCTTGAGGAATATCTTTGTGGAGTTCTCTGTATTTCTTGAATTTGAAATTTGGACTGCCTTGCTAGGCTTGGGAAATTCTCCTGGATAATATCCTGGAGCGTGTTTTCCAGCTTGGATTCATTCTCCCCATCATATTCAGGTACACCGATCAAGCGTAGATTCGTTTTTTTCACATAATCCCATATTTCTTGGAGGCTTTGTTCATTTCTTTTCACTCTTTTTTCTCTTGTCTTGCCTTCTCTTTTTATTTCATTGAGTTGATCTTCAATCTCTGATATCCTTTCTTCTGTTTGATTGATTTGACTATTAAAATTTGTGTTTGCTTCACGTAGTTCTCATGCTGTTTTTCAACTCCATCAAGTCGTTTATGTTCTTCTCTAAGCTGGTTATTCTAGTTAGCATTTCATCCAAACTTTTTTTCAAGGTTTTTGGTTTCTTTGCATTGAGTTAGAACGTGTTCCTTTCGCTCAGAAAAGTTTGTTATTATCTACCTTCTGAAGCCTGTTTCTGTCAATTCGTCGCACTCCTCAGTCAAGTTGTTGAGGAGTTGTGATCCCTTGAAGGAAAAGAGGTGTTCTGGTCTTTGATGGTTTCATCTTTTTTGTGCTGTTTTTTTTCCCCATCTTTGTGGATTTACCTGGCTGTGGTGTCAGACAGCTGCTTGAATGAGGTCCCTTGTCTGCCTATGGAGCACTACTGGGTTTCTAGGGAGTCCTTCAGGTTACTAGGAAGCTTACTGTGTCTTTTTGTTTATACTGGGAGATTAGGCCTGCCTCTTAACGCTGACCTGTAGGCGCTGCTGGGTTGTCAAGAATGCCGTCCCATTGCTACATAGGCTTCCTGTGTTTTTTGTTAAAACATGTAGTCCAGTCCCACCCCTCTAGTGGTGGGTTATGTACTTCCTCCCCTGGGCTGGATCATTCAGGGATCATCTCAGACTGTGGCACTGGCTGAGCAACCCCACTAGAGTCAGAGCTTCAGACCTCTGGGGTTTGTGGGGGAGAGTAGGGACCCACCCAGCCGCACCCAGCCATCTCCCCCTTTCAGCTTCCTCTCTCTCCAGTCAGGAGCAGGGGCCCACCCAGCTGCTCCTGCTTACAGCTCCCTCTCCCTCAGGGCCGGGGCGGCGGGGGGAGCGGGGGTGGAGGGGGCGACAGCTCAGTCCGCAGGCTCTTATTCAACTCCGGGCTTGTAATTTCTGGCGCTTGACTGGCAAAGATCCCGTGTTCTGTGTATTGCTGAGGCTTTGGGGGAAGCGCTGTATCTGGACCGAAGTGCCAGAGGGGGAGCCTCCAACTTGCCAGTCAGATACACTTACTGGGTGAAGCAGCACTCCTCCCCACCTCGGTCTGCCCTGAGTGGGCTTTGCTCACCATTGGACCAGACCCATTGAAATATACCTGGTACCTCAGTTGCAGCTAGGAGATCTCTGGATTTCTGCATCTCTCTCGCTGGGTGTTGTACACTGGAGTTGTGTCTAATTGGCCATCTTGCCTGGAAAGCCAGATAATCTTTTAATTCTGTTTTGAAGTGACACTGTGTTGCCCAGGCTCGTCTTGAGCTCTTGGGCTCAAGCAGTTCTCCCACCTCAGGCTCCCAATGTGTTGGCATTACAGGCATGAGCCACCACACCTGGCCAGATTTTTTTGGAAAAAATTTTGCCCATTTAAATTAAGGTACCAAAATATACAAATTTTAAAATAATGGGCTGAGTGAGGTTGCTCACACCTGTAATCCTAGCACTTTGGCACTCTGGGAGGCCAAAGTGGGAAGATCGCTTGAGGTCAGGAGTTGGAGACCAGCCTGGGCAATACATGGAGACCGTGCCTCTCCAAATAAAATGAAATAAAATGATGCATTCATAAAGAACAGAAGAGAGTAAAGAACTTCTCTGAAATCCTATCTTGAGTTATGTTAGTATTAAAAGATGACCCTGGGTGAGTTTAGCTCATATCATCAAAATGAAACTATGTTCAGTAGGATTACAATTCCCAATAATGCTATAATTTAAATTTTTCTAATACAGATGAAGAACTAGCACTGGATGGCAGTTTTGATCCAGACCTAAAAAACTACCACAAACTCCACTGGGAAACAGAATTCAAACCTGTGGCACAGCAGCTTCTAAACCGAATTCAGAGACATCACACCTTCCTGGAACCCCTGCCTGTTCCCTCTTTCTAACACGATGCAGATTAACAGTAGAAACAGGAAGTCACGTCTCCCTCATTCTTAAGAACTGGTAACAAATGTGATTACTTTTTTCAGCATTAACACATATGGAAAATTTTTCAAGAACTGCTTTTAGTGAGTAGCCAAAGTATTTTTTTAAAAAATAAGCATTTATTCTTGTTAGGGTATTATGGAAAAATGAATATACATGTTATATTTCCTGTTAAGAGAAATGTAAGATGAAAATATACGCATTTTTAAGTAAATGACTTTTTCTTCTATTCTCTATTAAATAATTTAGTTCTAGTCTTAAAATCTTGATTTAGCAGTTTTGGAATTAAAGTGTTCGTTAAATGAACTGAGCAGTAAAGGCTGTTCGATTATGAAGAAGGGTAGTCAGCGTGAATGGAACACATTACAACATAGGATCTGTGTTAATTCTTACCGCATCAAATAATAAATGTTCTCTCTAAGTACCAGTATTTTTCTGGTCCTCATAGTAAAGAGAATGAGTAAGCAGAAAATCATAGAGAAAACTGCTTTGGGCCATCTATTCTTTATTAAATAAGTAAAATAGATTAAAACAAGAGTATCTTTTCATTTGAAATAAAATGACTGGACTAAGTCCTCTGAATTGTAACTCTCTGTGTTTGGCAGGTGATGTAATGCATTCGAAAGCATGTAGGCCTAGGTGAATGGTAGACCTGAGCCTGAATCCTTGCTCTCCCCTGCAAGCTGTGTGGGCCTAGAACAAACAAGTAACTTAATTTCTGGAGCTTCAACTGTAAAATGGGAATCATATCTATTTTACTGTAGTGTAGTTTAGAACAAACTATTAAATGGGCAAATGGCGCATCCAGTGTATGATGTGGAGTGGATGCTCAAGAACATGATGATGGCAAGCACTTTATTAGCTTGCTGTGCTTTGTAGGATGAGTTTGGCCTTTGAATAAATGATTAAAAAACAAAAAATTGAGATTACTATTGTTATCCTATACTAGCCAAATGAATATGAGTTGAAAACAAAAATGAATTTACTGGCTCACACCTATAATTCAGCATTTTGAAAGGCTGAGGGAGGAGGATCCCATGAGGCTAGGAGTTCAAGACCAGCCTGGGCAACAAAGTGAGACCTCATCTCAGCAACAACAAAAAGTAAATTTACTACTCTGCTTGGAGAAAGCCTTTTATTAACAGTTGATTTCTTGCCCTACAAAATACCAAGACTCATGGGATAAGAGCAGGCGTCCCACATTGCATGGGTTCCTGAAGCCTATTAGAATAAACTAGCCTGTGATAGAATGTTGTTGCCTGTGATAGAAATTCTTTTTTTTTTTTTTTTTTTTTTTTGGTAACTGAGACAGAGTCTCAGAACAGTCTCTGTTGCCCAGGCTGGAGTGCAGTGGCATGATCTCGGCTCTGCAACCTCCACTTCCTGGGTTCAAGTGATTCTTCTGCCTCTGGGATTACAGGCATGCAACTGTAATCCACGCCTGGCTAATTTTTATATTTTTAGTAGAAATGGGGTTTCACTATGTTGGTCAGGCTGGTCTCAAACTCTTGTCCTCAAGTGACCCACCTGCCTCAGCCTCCCAAAGTATTGGGATTACAGGTGTGAGGCACCTGTGCCTGGCCAATTTCTTTCCTTTTTAAGACTGAATAATATTCTGTTCTATGTATATATCACATTTTGTTTATCCATTCATCTGTCAATGAATATTTGGGTTGCCTCCATCTCATGGCTATTGTAAATAATGTTGCCATGAATATAGGTGTGCAAATACCTCTTTGAGATCTTGTTTTCAGTTCTTTTGTGTATATACGCAGAAGTGATGTCTTAGTTCAAGGTGAGATACAAAAATATCTTAGTTTGGGTGACTTAAATTCATTCCTCACAGTTCTTAAGACTGGCAACTCCAGGGTCAGGGTGCTGGCCAGTTCAGTTTGTGGTGAAGGCCCTGTTGATAGATCATCTCTCATCTGTCTCTCCTTGCAAGGGTTTAATGCCACTCAACCTCCCCGCTAATGACCTAATTACTTCCCAAAGACCATATGGCTTCAACCTGTGAATTTTGGGGGAACACAAATAGTCCACAGCAAGTGGAATTGCTGTATCATATGGGAATTCTATTTCTTATTTTTTTGAAGAAACTCCATAGTGTTCTCTAGAGTGGTGATTATCATTTTACATTCTCACCAATACCACGTAAGTGTTCCAATTTCCCCACATCCTTACCAACACTTGTTATTTTGGGATTTTTAAAAATAGTAGCCATCCTGATGGGTGTGAGGTAATGTGTCATTGTAATGTTGATTTACATTTCTTATGCTGAGCACTTCTTCATAATTTTTGTTGGCCATTTGTATATTATCTTTGGAAAAATGTATATTCAAGTCTTTTGCCCCCCCCCCTTTTTTTTTTCTTGTGACATTGTCTCACTCTGTCACCAGGCTGGAGTGCAGTGGCACAATCTCGGCTCACTGCAGTCTCCACCTCCTGGGTTCAAGCCAGCCTCCTGCCCTAACCTCCTGAGTAATCCCAGCGGATTATAGGCATGTGCCACCACACCCAGCTAAGTTTTGTATTTTTAGCAGATACAGGGTTTCACCGTGTTGGCCAGGATGATTTCGGTCTCTGACCTCGTAATCCGCCTGCCTTGGCCTCCCAAAGTGCTAGATTACAGGTGTGAGCCACTGTACCTGGCCCCATTTTTTAGTTATTTGTGTGTTTTTTGAGTTGTAGGAATTCTTCATATATTCTGGATATTAAACCCTTACCAAATATATGATTTATAAATATTTTCTCCCATCCCATAGGTTACCTTTTCACTGTTGATTATGTCCTTTGATGCACAAACACATTTAAGTCTGGTGTAATTCCAGTTGGTTTTTTTCGCCTATACTTTGTGTCTTACCTAAGAAATCATTGCCAAACCCAGTGTTTTGAAACGTTCCCCCAGTGTTTTCATCTAGTTTTACAGTTGTTGGTCTTAATTTAGGTCTTTGAGTTTTTAAAATATAAGGGTCCAACTTCATTCTTTTACATGTGCATATCCAGCTTTCCTAGCACCATGTGTTGAAGAGATTGTCCTATCCGTGTTGAGTGGTCTTGGCACCCTTGCTAAAGAGCGTTTGGCCATGTATGTGAGAATTTATTTCTGGACCCTAGTCCATTGGCCTATATGTTTGACTTTCTGCCAGTTCTACGTTATTTTGATTACTGTCGTGTTACAATAGGTTTTGAAATCAGGGAGTGTGAAACCTCCAACTTGGTTACACAGTTTTTCAAGATTGTTTTGGCTATTCAGGGTTCCTTGAAGATTCTACATGAATTTTACCATGGAATTCTCTACTTCCGTGAAAAATGCCATTGGGATTCTGATAGAGATTGCGTTGAATCTACAGGTCACTCTGGGTGACCTGAACAATATGAAGTCTTCCAATCCAGGACCATGAGATCTCTTTCCATTTTTTTGTGTCTTTAATTTCTTAGTGATGCTTTACAGCAGGGATCCCCAACCCATGGGCCATGGACCAGCCACATAGCAGGAGGTGAGCTGTGGGCAAGTGAGCATTACTGCCTGAGTTCTGCCTCCTGTCAGATCAGCCACAGCATTGGGATTCTCATAGGAGCTTGACCCTATTGTGAACTGTGCATGTGAGGGATGTGGGTTGTGCACTTCTTATAAGAATCTAATGCCTGATGATCTGAGGTGTAACAGTTTTATCCTGAAACCGTCCCCCACTGCATCATCCACTCTGGGTCCATGGAAAAACTGTCTTCCATGAAACCAGTCCTGATGCCAAAAAGGTTGGCGATTGCTGCTTTACAGTTTTCAGTGTATATGTCTTTTGTCTTAGTCTGTTCAGGCTGCTGTAACAAAATACCTTAGACTGGGTAATTTATATATGGATAACAGAAATTTCTTGCTCACAGTTCTGGAGGCTGGGAAGTCCAGTATCAAGGATTTGGGGCCTAGTATCATCTTCTTCACAGACGGCACACTCTAGCTGTGTCCTCCCATGGTGGAAAGTGAGCTCCCCAGGCCTCTATTACAAGGACACTAATCCCATTCATGAGGGCAGAGCCCTCTTGACCTTATCACCTCCCAAAAGCCTACCTCTTAATACTAGCACATTGGGGATTACATTTCAACAGTCAAATCTGGGGCGGGGAGACACAAACATTCAGATCATCACATATCTCCTTGGTTGTTTATTCCTAAGTATTTTATTCTTTTTGATGCTATTGTAAATGGAATTGTTTAATTTTTTTGGATCATTCATTGTTAGTGTATAGAAATGCGACTGATTTTTGTGTGTTGATTTGTAGCCTGCAACTTTGCTGAATTTATGCTTCCTCCTAATCATACCATTCTCTGCTGGGGAAGAGCTAGGGTGAGCAAAATGCACAAACTTTCCTGGCCTTTCGGTGCAGCCTTTTCCTGGCTTTGCATTTGCCTAAGTGCTGCAGTTTCCCAGTTGGTTTCTGGAGTTCTCACAAAGATATTCTGGCCCATATATTGTTAACTCAGTGTCTCTGGGAGAATGAGGATGCAGAGTTCCCAAGTCCATCATCTTGCTGACATTACTTCCCATCTACTAGCTACAGCAAAAGGCTAGTGTGATGATTTGGGTATGACATTCACATGTAGAAATATGCTAATAAAATTTCAGAGTATATTGATCAAAAATGCTTACCCAACAAGTTCTACTTATCTACTTTCCTCCCAGTGGTGTATGTCAAAATGAATTTCGTTCTTAATTAAGTTTGGCCTAATAAAAAAGTTTTCCCAAATATGACCAAAAAACCCCTTAGATTTTAACTCTTGAATCCTAGGAACCTCAACCAGAAATCTTTTCATGATTATTTTAGAAAAAAATTTTCCTCTGCTGGGGGAATATTTTAATATCCTCAGTGCAATGTACCTTCCCTAATTATTTTGGAAACAACTGGTTTCAAAGATTATGTAGTAACATTAGAAATCCCATGTGTTCAGTTTTGAGAAAACATTGAGTAACAGGAAGCACCTGTTAAATGGAAGGCACTGAAACATTAACTTTGTATTACATGCATTTTTATTACTTTAGGTATAAACATATTTTTTAACTCATTAAAATTTTGATTTTAATTTCTAAGTGATTATATGTTCCAGTGGACTAAATGCATTCCCTTGATCTTGTTTTGTGATCACTCTACTGCTGATTAGAATCTCTACCAGAAATTTTGTATTTTCAAGAGGAGGAACAAAGCAGAAACAGGATGAGTAAAATTTTCACTATTTCCAGTGCATCCTTACTTCTTGGGTTAAATTGTATTGCTATGGTGAGAGAACTCAGCAGCAGATAGAAGAGGACAAAGGCATGATGCATATTCAATGGACAATGAACTTATGTTTCTTTCAATATAAAACATATTGAAGATAATAGTAGTCTATTTCTAGCTAAGGTTATAGTCTTGTCTTCTCACTACAGTATATCCTTCAGGGCAGGTAGCACCTCTATTCAAAATTGATCCTTCCCAACCCCCACTTCCACACTACCCCATACATTTGTAGGCACTAGAGTGACTCCGTCAGTGTTTTGAGGAGTAGTAGAGTTATCACAACAGCTTCAGTTAAACTTAAGAGCTATTTCTGCTTGTCTGATACAGTGTGATTTTTTGTTCTCTCGTCTCTTCCTAATGAATCCTTCTTTCTAATAATCTGTAAAATTCTATTGGAACTCTAAAACATCCCAGTTCAAAAGAGAGCAGGCAAAGAGCCATACCAGTCATTTCCAAGATAAAAAATGGTCTTAAATAAGATTCTGAAGAGGGTCCACTCCTCTTTGTATCTTTCAAAATGGCTTCAAGTGTTTTGCCATTTAAAAGTAGTCTCATGATTACAGCATTATTTAAGTGTGAATCTGTTTGGCTTATGAAAGTAGAGAGAAAGTCAGAATTGTTACTAATAGTGAAGTCATGACTTTTTAAGAGATTGAGACAGCAAATAAA